TTTTGATCCAGCCTGCGTCGGGAAGGGGGGGTCGTCGGGTATTGTGTTTTGTCGTGTTGGCAGCACTGGTTAAGCGGTAATTTTTGAACTCGGAAGAGTGTCTAGTCGTAAGTCACGCGATTCAAGTCGATCGTAAGACACAGCCAGCCAGGTAGGCAATCCGACTACGTCGGATCGCAGACCATGCACCGGGCGTGTATGTCCGGTTCTCGTATGTGTGTTGAAATCGGAAATTCGGGTTCTCTGAGTTTGAGTGTCTAGCTATCAGTCATCTCGATTCCCGAGTGTCGGTTGCAGTGGGGGTGTAAGTCGCTCGTATGCAAGTAGCTAGTCAGGTAGGCAATCCGACTACGTCGGATCGCAGACCATGCATCGGGTGTGTATGTCCGGTTCTCGTATGTGTGTTGAAATCGGAAATTCAGGTTCTGAGTTTGAGTGTCTAGCTATCAGTCATCTCGGGTGAAAGTCGATTCCCGAGTGTCAGATGCAGTGGGGGTGTAAGTCGCTCGTATGCAAGTAGCTAGTCAGGTAGGCAATCCGACTACGTCGGATCGCAGACCATGCACCGGGCGTGTATGTCCGGTTCTGGTGTGTGTGTGTTGAAATCGGAAATTCGGATTCTGAGTTTGAGTGTCTAGTTATCAGTCATCTCGGGTGAAAGTCGATTACCGAGTGTCAGATGCAGTGGGGGTGTAAGTCGCTCGTGTGCAAGTAGCTAGTCAGGTAGGCAATCCGACTACGTCGGATCGCAGACCATGCACCGGGCGTGTGTGTCCGGTTCTCGTATGTGTGTTGAAATCGGAAATTCGGATTCTGAGTTTGAGTGTCTAGCTATCAGTCATCTCGGGTGAAATCCGATTCCCGAACGGACAATCCGCCTACAGCGAAAAGTGCTCGAAACGGCCGTTCAAATATGAAAAAGTATACAGGAGGTAATAAAATTGTATTTGTTGATAATTATAGAGAACAGTTATCAGGTGTTTTATGTTAGGCTTCACTGTAATTTATTTAATCATTGTTATGTTTTCGCGGTTATAACAAATAAGTCGACAAAATCTAATTTTCTGATTGGATATTTTCTAAAATATACCTAGGTACCTTGTATATTTATTTAATTATGAGAATTAAGTCAAATTAACAAATAGATAATTATATTGGTGAATAACAAATTTTATTGAAATGTAATACTATCCTATTAAACGTAGGTATCTATAAATGAATACACTATACATACTCTCGTTTCCGACACACTACTCCACCCCGGGACTCGAATTTTCGAAAAAAACGGCAAATGAAGCAGTCATATTACAGTCGTACTATTTTTTAATATAGTATTTATAATCTGTAGCAGTATTTAACCAAATCGGAATCACGTAAAAACTGTAATATATCAAGTAGGTACTACACGTAGGTTAGTCATATTATAATGTATTATTAAAAGAAACATGTAGGTGCGTCGGTAAATGTTAATTATAATTATTTTTTTGCCCAATAAATATCGTCAAACGAATAATAATAATATATATAATATAATAATGCAAATTTAAAAAAAAAATTAACACTTTCGTTAAAAATGATAAATGTGACGAAAAAAAAAAACGCAAAAAAAAGAAATTCGATTTAACACGGCCCCGCCGGCGTTCGAAACCACGACCGTCAAATCACCCGTTTTAACGCCTAACCTACCTAGCCACCTACCGAGATGAAATTAGGAGTCAAATCTATGACTCTTAAGGGCGTTTGAGCGGACCACCGTGTCCGCCACCTTCGGACGTTCAAAACGCGAGATTTGCGAAAAAAATCGAACCTCGAGGCGCATGTATATACATGCGTATATATGCCTGTATATAGCGATACCTACACGGGTACCTACTCTCGTTTCCGACACACTACTCCACCCCGGGACTCGTCTGTGGCTATAAATATAGCAGGGAACACGAATAAGTAGTCGACGGGGAGGGTGATATGACCGAAAGGGGCTAAAACTATAATTTTCAAAAAAAACGGCAAAAAGAGCAGTCATATAATAGTCGTACTATTTAACTGCCAGAGTTTAATCAGTTCTATTAGATCTATTAGTTTATTAATACCGTATTAAATAGTATTTAACCTAAAAACTGTAATATATCAAGTAGGTACTACATGTAGGTTAGTTATATTATATTGTATTTATATAAGAAACATATAGGTGCGTTGGTCACGGTAAAATCAAGTATTATTATTATTATTTATAAAATAGTACAGTATCATTATACAATTTAGTTACAATTTAAAATATCTACTTTAATATATATTAATATTTTTTTGCCAAAAAAAAAAAAAATGTGACGAAAAAAAAAACTCGAAAATAAAACATTCAAATTATCACGGATGGCGCAAATTATCGAAAATTCCAGAGGCCGGGTTCGAACCCACGACCCTCGAGTCACCTATCCTAACGCCTAACCAACCTAGCCACCTACTCAGACGAAATTTCGAGGCAAATGTATGACTCTTAAGCCGCGTCGCCGTGCTCGCGGCGATAAAATAAAATTCTTATCACTTTCCTTATCAATAAAAACAATATTTAAGAAAATCCCAATAAATCCTATCAAAAACTCAAAACCCCGAGTTTCCCCTTGGCGAGGTGGGTGTTAGAACTCTCCCGGACCAAAATCCATCAAAAAAGCAAAATCCAAAAAGGGGGGAGGAGGTGCCCCCGTTCCCTAAAGCGGAAAACGGTAGTATTCATAAAAAGAATGGGTTCCCCCTTGGTCCGAGGTCTTTAACTTGAATTCCGGCCGAGTTATACTCAACTCAAAATGTGGGGGGGGGTGGGGGCTTTGGTTCCCTAATGTTGAAAATTCATCTGGGGTCTAAAAAATTGAGATGCCCATTGGTACGGGGTCTCTAAGTCGAATACCGGCTAAGTTATACTTGGTCAAAAATAATTACTCGTTTAATGGGTCCCCCCACTCCGCCCGACGGTCGCGGGGTAATCGATTTATAAGACGTTATTCTCACGTCAAAAAATTGAAAAACACGGGTTTTTTTTTAATAATAATAATAATAATGTTCGAAAATATTCGTCGATAAGGAAATGGGAGATAAGCGAGCGGAATTTATAGCGAACGCGCGGGAAGTATTGTGATTGGTCGTCATGGAAGAAACGCGGAGTGCCGTGAGCGCTCCCCGCGGATCTTATACGCGTTATTAGCGTTTTATTATATAAGATGTATATTACAAATAATGTAAATCAGTCGTTCTTATATTATTATTATTTATTAATATTTAAAAGCAAAATGTATAAAATTCTATAAATCACAGAGTATAAAGTAAGTATTTTTAAATACAGTCATAATATTAGTTCTAGATAATATATCAATATATTATCAATCGTAAGTTTCTTTACAGATTCTGCAAAACCATATTTTTTTTTTTAATGTTGTTTTAACATTAACACACTTAAAATGGAACCACTCTAGACATCTATTGCAACAAATCGAATTATTCGATGAATCCTCATTGCAACATTTGCATATCCATGTTGGATTTATTCGCTTTATATCCACAACTTGTTTTAGAGCAGCCCAGCCGTCGCTGTCAAAATACCTTTTGATATCATCAATCGCAAGGTTACTGTCTAAAACAGCACAATGTATATTATTTGGATTATTTTCAATTGCTGTTTCACTTATAAATCCATTTCCAGATACCGCAATACTGGCCACATCCTTATCCACAAACCATATTAACATTTCAAAATGTCTCGTCAAAACATCAAGTTTTTCAAAAGGAACTAAACCTGAAACCTTTTTTCGTTTTGCGATACCAATAGCAGTTTTGTCTTTACCTAAAATATAAAGTATGAAAATAAATTTCATCAACGATAATCATTTGAAAATATATGGAATATAAACATTTATTTATATAAATACAGAGATTGTACAAACCTAGAAATACATAAAGTGGTAGTCTCAAATCATTGACTTTATATATTGCGTCTACAAATAGCACTTCAGGACATAATGCAAATATTCTTTTCATTTCATCATCTTGATAGAATATGGCCTTTAACTCGTTATTATTATTTTTCAGTATTTCCAAAGTAACTAATTGTTTGTTTTTAAAACTTTCAACTAACGATTTTAAGGCGTCTAACTTAGGAGAATTTGTTAAAGCCAAGTTGTGTATGTCCTTTAAAGTTATTACTTTATTATGTTGTGCCATCAACTCATTCTGCAGGATTTTTTTATTGACTTTCATTGCCACTAATTTTGATGCTATTGATTTAGCATCAGAGTCAAGTCTTCGCTGGCGTGGATAGTGGTCAAAGATTGCCTAATAATAATATTAATTATAGTAAAAACAAAATTGTTTTTTTTTTCTCTCTCACCTTACTCCGTATATGATTGTGTTCAGTAACAATAGAACTATAGAAGTAATTACTAACTTATCACCTATATCATTAGGTCGCACACATATCACTATCTTATGTACACATGTATTAATTATGCATAGATTAAAATATACACTTAATATTATTGAGTAGATCATTGCAACTTGCAAGCATTAGTCAAATAGGTAATAAAAGTTTGTAGTAAATCAGTTGTTTATAGCATGTGCATCTAGTCATATTATATTAATGATTTTGTTATTTTTGTAGAAAAGCCTAATTATTTAGAATCGGAAAAGGTTGAAAAGTTAGAAAATACAATTCAAAAATTAAATAAAAAATTAAAAAATTGTCAAAAACTTGTTTCAAAAAGCAATAAGAAAATAGAATTTTTAAGACACAAGTATAAACAACAAGTTGAAAGCAGTAATTCAAAAAGAAATAATTTTTTAAGAACTAACATAATAGCTAAATCTGAATTTCGTCTAAGACAATTGAAAAAAAAAGGACGAAGATACGAAGAAACTGAGAAGTCCTTTGCCCGTGGTTTATATTACCATTCACCGGTCGCTTATCGTTTTATGAAGAGTTTCCTTTGCTTGCCCGACGTACGATCTCTCAGAAGATGGCTGGAAGGTTTGGATGTTTCTTGTGGTATAAATCAAAACTAAAGTTTCAAACTGCTACTGTAAAAGAAAATTTGGTATCAATAATTATTGACGAGATGTCAATAAAACAATTTATTTCCTATAATTCACAAAATGATACATTTTATGGATATGAAGATTTTGGATCTGAAATTTTTGAAGATTTAAAAACTTTAAAACATGGTAACCAGGTGTTGGTTGTGATGGTTAAGAGTTTAACATTACCTTGGAAACAAATACTTGGTTTCTTTATAGCAAGTGGTTCAGTTGCAGGAGATCGACTCAAGTGCATAGTAGAGTACACTATAACAAAATTAAGTGAATGTGGTCTTATTCCAAAAGTGGTAATTTGCGATCAAGGATCAAATAATCTAAAAATGAGGAAATTATTGAATGTTACAAAAGAAAAACCTTTTATAACATACAACAATGAAAATGTATTTTTTATGCATGATTCCCCACATTTACTGAAATCAGTAAGAAACAATTTTAAAAAATATACTTTTGAAAATGCAAATGAATTATACAGTTGGAGAGATATAGAAGATTTTTATAAAGTGGATTGTAATAATAAACCAAGATTAGCAAGGAAGTTAAAAAAAAGTAATTTGGATCTACCCCCTTTTTCACCAATGCGAGTATGTCTAGCAACCCAAACTTTAAGTAATTCGGTGAGTGCTGGTATTTTGACTTTAGTATCATTCAATAAATTATCAGCTAGAGCAGCATATACAGCCAAATTTGTTAAATTTTTTAATGATTTGTTTGATGTTTTTAATAGCATAAAATTAAATGAGCCTATTGTTTTAAAAAGACCATTAACTAAAAACTCTTTACATTGGGATTTTTTCAAAAAAGCTTTAAAATTTTTATCAGAGTTGAAAATAAACAATAAAAGAGGAAGTTTACCACCTTGTATAATAGGCTGGCAAGAAAATATTATTTTTGTGCAAATGTTGTTTAAAGAATTAAATGAAAAATATGGTATTGAATACTTGTTAATGAGACGCTTGACCCAAGATTGTATTGAATCATTATTTTCAGTTTTAAGAGCTAAAGGAGGTAATAACTTAACACCAGATGCATCAAAAATTCAATCAGCAATCCGTATGAATATGTGTAATATGCTTATTAGTCCTTCAAATAATGCCAACTGCGAAAAAGATGCTTCTGAATTTTTGGCTTTATCAAAAGACATAAAAACTTCAATTATCACATTAGATAGATCATATAATGAATCAGAAGAAATAGAAAATATTGATGATTACTATAGTTCAATGAATATTGAGTATATTTTAATGAAGGATGAAACTGCAAATAGTGTCGCTTATGTAACAGGTTGGGTTTGTAGTCAATTGGATCATAAACCATGTATTGAAAAACTGGCCACTAAGGATACTAATAAAAAATTTGATCTTGATAATACACACATTGGTATAAAGGAATATGATGGCTGCAGTTTACTTTATCCTCTTGCCAAAACATTGGAATTTACTAAAAATGTTTCTGCACTTTTTCATGCAAACATTGAAAACCTTATTCTAAAAAAAAAATGTAATTTAAAAAAGGATCTTAAACTTATTATAAGCCATATTTGTAAAAGGTACTCACTAAGTATATGTGAAGACTGCAATTCTAAATTTTTGGATAAATTTTTAAATGTGAGTATTAATTGCTATGTGAAGAAATGCAATGATTCATTCAACCAATATAAATGTTCAAAAAATAAAAAGTTGAAAAAAGTAGTTCACGTTTGAGTACAATGTTTATTTAATTGAAAAATTATTATTATTAGATATTCAGTTTTAAGCACCATCAGTTTTAAGCACTTATGTTATAATTTCATATTTTGATTTGTGTTGTATAGTTATTATGAAAAAAGTAAAATATATAAGTATAATATATGTTTTGAATTACATTTAATTAATACCTACTATAAAGCTTACATTTAACATTGTTTATCGTATTTCCCAATAGAATTTATGATCTTATTGAGATTTTAAGTATGTGTAAATATGCAAATACTATATAATCTAAAATATAAATAATTTAATATTTCTAACTAAAAATTATAATCGTTGATTGGCATTAGAAAATAAACAATAAAATGAAATCGAGGTTCTAAATTAATTTGTATTTATAAACATTTCAAGGAGTAAAATAGGCAACTACTTTAACAATCTCGCGGGGCAATGATAAGAAATAATTCGCCAGTTTTTATATGCCAGTGTCCTGTATTATCTTATATAGTATTTGAACATATGCACTGGCGGTGGACCCGAATATCGGATGCTGAGGTGGCTAGTCGGGTGGTGGGGGGGGGGGGGGGTATCGGACATTATCTATAAAGGCTGTAGAAATATTCGACCGCTAGTACTAAGTGGCGCTGGGGTAAAATACATTTTATAATTAACGAACGCAATATGCACATCGCGTGCCATGTGTCGACCATGATAACGACACCAGCGGTGGTAATAATATTTTGTAGATCTGCCTACGACGGTTAACACTGTTAGGTATCTGATAACTGGAAATAACTAAATATTTTAATTTATATTATTATTATTATTATTATTCTGTATATGTATTGCAACGGGCGCCAACGGCTGCTAGCTTTCGCCATATATGATATAACCGACAGTTGCTTACAGACGGTAACACTGGTTAGAAGCGTCTTATTCACGTTTAAACAGTTGGAACGCATTATTTACGATTTAAAATATTTTTCTACGATTCATTTGCAATGAATATATTACAATGTACCGTCGGTTGCCGATCACTAGTGCTTTTGGTACATGAGAACTCTGATCCGGAATATCCTCAGTATACAAGCTTTTTACCGAGGTTGAAAACATTCGATTTACACCCGGCTCGATCGTGTCAAGATAAATATTCACTGGCCGCCAGCGGATTCACTTATACCAGGACTGAGGATTTGGTTCAATGTCACTACTGCGGGTTATTGTTGGGGCAATGGGAGGAAAATGACGAAGTGTGGCAACAACACGCCCTGCACAACCCTAAATGTGTATTTGTATTATTATTATATAAAGGCATGGAATTTATTGAAAATGTAAAAAATGAATTTAATCGCAAACGTAGTGATAATAGAGGCATCGAGACTGTTGTCGTTGTAAATCAGAACCGTATGATGTTGGTGTTGGCTCGCCTTCGGCTTTAATAAGTAATAAATTAGGAAGCCTTAACGGCCGGGAGGATCTGCAACTTATGATGCAGCCGTCCCAAATGCAAAATAATATAAGACAATTGGTTTAGTTAGGTATATTGTATATTGGTAGACATATTATAAAGTTACAATACAAGTTTGACCACTTGGTCCAATACAATAATAATAATTAATTAGGTAGAATAAGACCCGTCGGTCTATTATAATATTATGATGGTACACACATACCCTTGAGGTTATGTCGCCTTGAGGTGCCGGGATCCGTATAAATCAACTTAAATACAATAATACAATACAGGATTGATCCCGCACACGCCCAAGAACTCCGCTAACCTCAACACGACGAACAACTCACAATTCACAATACAACTTACAGCTGCTACAGCGGACACACAACTTGACAAACCACGAAACTAAAGTCTTCTGCTGGTAATCAATGACCGCCCTATACTAGGGGGAAAACAATTTAATGATTGGCAATAAATGCGCTAACGATAGTTACGAGTTACCAGACAGAAGAAATCACAAAACACACACAACGAAAACGTGGTTCGGCAGCTGCAGCAGGAACAAAACAAGACACATAGATGTTTTCACACCAACAAACGAAACGAGAAAAAAAAAGTGGCCGATTTTAACGGTAACACATTACATTTACATTACAACACGGAATAACAGTGTCACCTGTACAACAAAACAAAAGTATAACACAAAACAAGAACTTTAGGTGACACACAACTTTTAAACATGAGTGATAGAACGGCTTTTTTCAAATTACTGGAAAACAACAAAACATTGATAACGTGGTGGTCTCACACACGCACTGGGCGGTCAGCACACAACAGCTGACGCCACTGTCGACCGCACGGCAGTGACGCGTGATAAGAACCACCACGGAGCACAGGAACATAATACAAAACAAACACAATTAATTTGAATCGCCATATTGGCGCGAACAGTTGGTAATAATCGCGATAATAGTAATAGTCAAGCCCGTATATTATGTAAATCTGAATCGTATGATGTCGTCGGGTGACCTACAGGCTACAGCACCACCACCACGCATGTTCATTATAACCAGCGCCGGCGGAAGGGCAGGACAGAAGGGGCATCTTTGGGGCCCCGCGCCTGCATGTATGGTATTTGATAATTTGTAAGACCACAATTTTGTTTTTCAATTTAAAAATACAAGTCTCGCCTGGCCGTCTGCAGTTGCAGCTTGTGGGTTTTTCATATAATAAACGAGTGAGAGTAAAAATAAATTAGGTATTAAAAAAAAACCGACGTGTTAGTAGAAGTTAATACAATAAGCAAAAGTCTTCAGAGCCCGAACATGGATTTAGATATTTCGGCTAGTATGTTAAATGGGCTACTCTCATTATAATTTATAACACAATAACCTATATAATATGTATGTATATGATATTTGTATTGAATAAACATCGAATTATATTAAACAATTAAATCTTGTTAGTATTTGACTTGGTATCCTGGTAAAAGTATGTATGTATGTATGTACGTATGTATATATAATATGATAAAATTCGAAAAACCACGTCCGTCCGATTAGCGGATAGATGGCGTCCCCCGTCGGTGATAATATAATACTGGTCGAGAGGACGATGAGCACGCCGCGTCGTGGACAGAGCGCGCCACGGACGGGGTGGACGCCACGCGGCGAGCGTCTAATGGGCGGGGCGGTGCGGTGGTGTAGCGTGGAAGCGAGGTGGGGTAGTGCGGTCAACGTTACCGATGTATGGGCGGTGTGGGGTGGTGGTAGGGTGGAGGGGGATTGCGACCGGTGGCTCTTGAGGGTGGGAGGTTAGGTTAGTTTGGGGTGGTTGGAGGGAGTGGCTCAGGTGTCTTAGGGCTGTCGGATCGTGTGGGGGTGGGTTTGGTGAAGGGGATGGTGGCCAAGGGTGGCTCGGTAATGACGGGGGGTGGGTGGCTCTGGTGGATCGGTATAAGGGGTGGGGTGGTGAAGCGGGGGGTCACCAGAACTGGCCTTTCTATACTACTGGTGGTCACTGTTTAATGGATGGTATTAATATTAAATTTGAATTCAATGATATAATATCATTGTACCTATACGAAAAACGATTCTGAGCGGTGACTGTTTGTCAGTGTGGATATTTTATATTATATTTATGTTGTTATTACTATTATTATTAAAATGGTAACCAGCAAGGTGATTTAATATAAAATAAAATTACAACATAATAACTAAAATCGTTATTCTTGGTTATTTAATATGCGATTTCATCAAAATTAGAACATAATTATAAAAAAAAATTGCAGAGATTTTTTGGTTACAGAATAACCTACTCAAGTGGAACCTTGTTGTAATTTTTCTTAGCTACCTATACAAGTTGAACATTATATACATTTTTAACAATAAAATGATTTTTAAATTTAAAATTTCAGTCGCGGATCACACCTTGTTCGGCACACACGTAACAGAGTACGCTCCGTCAAATCGTTACGATCACATTTATTTTTCAGTTTGAATGTGACAAATTAATACGTAGAAATAGTCAAAATGAAAATTGCTATAAACTAATCAAACTAGATAAAATTTACAATAAGTTAAGTGCGTAAATTCACATTAAATAAATTGAAAATTCTGTGCGTTTTTAAAACAACTTTCATTGTTACATAACAATTGTCATGCTATCGCTGCCGCGAGCAGCGTTCCACGACCTTTGCCCATGAGATAATTACCTATGCAGCCGTTTTAAATCCCATCGTCGAACCAAAAAGGTAAAAATAAAATAATTCTACAAACACTTTACAGGCAGCTCACCATGATAAATCCACCACAAATACAAATCAAGCAGTTTTTGAATATGATTCATCCATCAACCCTACAAATGCAGACTGGACAACTAAGGGCCGGTAAAATTAATCGGTCAGCTTCCTCCAACCCGAGTTCTTCGGATCCTGATGCAAACAAAAAGAATAAAAAACTATTCATAACTACAAATCGTTACGAACCGTTAACGCAAACTGAATCTGTCAACTCACCAGCTAACCCACCGCCCGAAACACCTACCATCGTAGACAAAACTATACTACCACCACCAATTTTTGTAAAAGGTGTAATAAACTTTCCAAACCTATGTTCATCCCTAATCGAGATAATTGGAGTTGACAACTTTTTCTGCAAATCCTCATCAGACAGCTTAAAAATCCAAACCATTTTTTAAAGGACAAAAAAACCCACTATCAGTATCACACATTCAAACTCAAAGAAGATACACCGACGCAAGTCGCTACCCGAAATCTCCTCCCGACTACATTCGTAAATCTAATAAAAAGCGAGTTAGAACTGCGTCTTTTCGAGGTAAGAAAAGTCACAAACGTACTACATAAGACCAACAAATGCCCGCTACCTCCCTTTTTCGTAGATCTAGAACCAACTCACCATTCAAATGATATTTTCAAACCTTCCTCTTTGCTGCATATGAAAGTCAAAGTCCAGGAACCATACAAACCAAAAGTAATTGGCCTGTGGCTCAACTGCCAGGAGTACTGTCACACTAGGGCTTACTGCGGGTATCCTGCTCGTTG